GGAGGCAGGCCTGCAGATCTTGGCCTCAGCTGTGGTCCCTGAAGCAGCCCTGTGACTCAGTTCTAGCGCTCACAGCCACAGTCCATGGCCAGTTGTACACACCCAGACCCACACAGAGACTTGTGAAAACTTTTCCCAGGTAGTTAGTAGAAGCCAATCCCATTCATACACATGGCATTTCGCCCATCATATGCAGAAAAACTTCAAAACCCTACCCTACTGCCTGCCATATAGATTAATGTCCTCAAGGATATTTAATCTTTCCATGGCCCAGAAAGAATCCATGACTGTCCAAATCTCTGGTAATACAACCATCAAAGGCAGACCCCATATCACTCAAAATGGATGTATGGTAGGTCTTCACTTAATGTTCAAAATAGGTTCTTGAAAACTGCATCTTTAAATGAAACAATGCTGCTATATGCCATTCAAACAACAGACTCAGCAGCACCCTCGTGACCCAGCTACGACCTTTCTTCTTAGCAACCCCAGAGATAATCTCATCAGCCTGGGGACCCAATAAAAGGAGATCTTTACTTGCCAAAGACAGTTTATAGAAACTGTAAGAGTTGTTAGATCCTTCAAATGTACAGACATGGGGCTGTTTCAGGGACCAAAGCTGAGACCAAGATCTGCAAGCATGCCTCCAGGGCCACAGCTTGTACCTTAACATATTACCGAAAGTTTTGTATCAGAACAATTAGACAAGGAAAATAATAAAGCTTTCCAGCTTGGAATAAAAGTAAAAATGTTACTGTTTGTAGATAATATGATCATGCATATATAAAAAACCCTAGAGTAAAACAACAAAAACTGAACTAATAAATGCATTCATTAAGGTATCAGGATACATAATCAACATAAAAATACTTGTGGGGTTTTTTTTGTTTGTTTGAGATAGGGTCTCACTCTGTTGCCCGGGCTTATCTCAAACTCCTGTGCTCAAGTGATTCACCTTCCTTGGCCTCTAACCTCTGAAAGTGTGCAGGGATTACAGAAATGAAGCACTGCACCTGACCCTACAAACAAATGTCTGTTGCATTTCCATATAGTAACAACAAACTTTCCAAAAAAAAAGAAAAAGTTTCCAATTGCAATAGTATAAAAATAAGGAACTTAATCAAAATAAATGTAAAGGGGCCGAGCACAGTGGCTCACACCTGTAATCCCAGCACATTGGGATGCCGAGGTGGGGAGAACACTTGAGACCAGGAGTTCCAGACCAGCCTGGCCAGCACAGCAAAACCCCATCTCCACTAAAAATACAAAAAAATTAGCCAAGCGTGATGGCGCGTGCCTATAATCCCAGCTACTCGGGAGGCTGAGGCAGGAGAATCCCTTGAACCTGAGAGGCAGGGGTTGCAGTGAGCTAACGCCACTGCACTCCAGCCTGGGTGACACAGCGAGAATCTGTCTCAAAAAATAAGTAAATACATAAAATAAATTAAAATAGTAAAGGATGAGATAAAAATGTATACACTAATACAGTTAAGTTATTGATGACAGAAATTGAAGTAGGTACAAATAAATGAAAATATATTCCATTAGGATAACTAATATTGTCAAGGAAGTGACCTGTAGATTCAATGTGATCCCTATCAGAATTTTAGTGGCATTTTTCACAGTAATAGAAAACACAATTGTAAAATGTAAGTGTAATCTTAAATAACTTAAAATACCCTGAGCAATCTTGAGAAAGAACAAAGCTGGGGGCATGATACTTTCTAATTTCAAACTTTACTTAAAGGTCACAGTAATCAAAAGAGTATGGTATGTGCATAAAAACAGATACAAACACCAATGCAACACAACAGGGAGCCCAGAAACACATCCATGCATACAAGGTCAACTAACCTTTGACAAGGCCACCAAAAATATACAATGCAGAAAGTATAGTCTTGTCAATACATGGTACCAAAAAAGTTGGATATCCACAAGCAAAAGAATAAAATTAGATTATACCATAAATAAAATTTTCTTATACTACACCCCAAAATTAACTCAAAATAAAAGACTTAAATGCAAGACATAAAAGCGTAAAACTGGCCGGGCGCAGTGGCTCACGCCTGTAATCCCAGCACTTTGGGAGGCCGAGGCGGGCGGATCATGAGGTCAGGAGATCTAGACCATCCTGGCTAACACGGTGAAACCCCCGTCTCTACTAAAAATACAAAAAAATTAGCCGGGCGTGATGGCGGGCGCCTGTAGTCCCAGCTACTCGGGAGGCTGAGGCAGGAGAACTGTGTGAACCCAGGGAGGCGGAGCTTGCAGTGAGCCGAGATCGTGCCACTGCACTCCAGCCTGGGCGACAGAGCCAGACTCCGCCTCATTAAAAAAAACAAAAAACAAAAAACAAACAAACAAAAAAACAACGTAAAACTCCTGAATAAAACATATGGAAAAACCTTGTTGATACTGGTCTTGGCAATTTGGTATGTCATCAAAAGCACAGCAACAGAAGAAAATAACAAAAGAGTGGGACTGCATCAAAGTGAACAGCTTCTGTACAGTAAAGGAAAAAAATGACATTTAAAAAAATCCTACAAAATAGAAAAACATTTGCAAGCCATATATCTGAGAGTTAATACCCAAAATGTGTAAGAAACTTCTGCAATTCAAAGCAAAACAATAATGATGATAACCTATTCAAAAATAGGCAAAAGGTTAGTTGTTTTGTTTTTCCCACAAAGAAGACATACATACAAGGGAAATCCTGTATGCCATTAGTGAGATATAAATTGATAAAGTCATCATAAATATCAGTAAAAAATAAAAATGGAAGTATGAATACCACCTCTGGGTATACTACAAAAGGAAATAAAATTAGTACCTCAAAGAAATATCTTCAGCCCCATGTTCATTTTAGTTTTGTTTAAAATAGTCAAAAACATTTATATATACACACACAGTAGAATACTATTCAGCCATAAAAGAGAACAAAATCTAGCCATTTACAACATTGATAGACCTTGAAGACATTACGCTAAGTGAAATAAGCCAAACACAAAGAAACTGCACGTTCTCAGTTAGATGCGGGGAATCTAAACATGTAAACTCATAGGAACAGAGAATAGAATGGTGGTTGTTAGTGCCTGAGGGTGGGAATATGAGGAGATGCTGTTTAAAGAGTACAAATTTTTAGTTATAAGTTGAGTAAGTCTGAGAAAGCTAATGTACATTAGCATTAGATTAGCAAAACACAATTGTCTTTACAGTAATACTGTAATGTATGCTTATAATTTGCTACAACAGTAGACCTTAAGTATTCTTATGACCAAAAAAATGGTTATCTATGTGAGGTAACAGATGTGTTCATCAACTTGACAATATTTTGTTTCAAAATGTATATGCATATCAAATCATTACATTGTACAAATTAAATACATAGTTATACAATTTTATCAGAAAAATCCATATCACACAAACCCACATATATCTAAGTCCTCATTTAGTGTTCAAAATAGGTTCTTGAAAACTGCATCTTTAAATGAAACAATGTTGCTATATGCCATTTAAACATAACTTGTTTTTATCAATTAAACTCTGGTAAAATTAGTTTTCTTAAACAATATGTTGCTTTACTTAGTTTCCAAGAACCTATTAACAATGTTAAGTGAGAATTTCCTATACACATATATGACTTATATAGGTATGTGTATGTGTGTGACACATAGTTCTATACATAGATGGATTATAGTTCAATGACAGAATCCCAGTAGGCTTCCTACTAAATAACACAAAATTATAAGATAATAGTTTATTAAGAAATAGGGTTAACAAATGAGAGCTTAACATACACTTAGGAATGTTCTAAGCTGGTTAATGACATAGTGCATTTAAGAAATCTAGAAGTTAGGCTGGGCGTGGTGGCTCACGCCTGTAATTCTAGCACTTTGGAAGGCAGAGGTGGGCAGATCACTTGAGGTCAGGAGTTCAAAACCAGCCTGGCCAACATGGTGAAACCCCGTGGCAGGCACCCGTAATCCCAGTTACTCGGGAGACTGAGGCAGAAGAATCGTTTGAACCCAGGAGGTGGAGGTTGCAGGGTGGCGGAGGTTGCACTGAGCCGAGGTCATGTCACTGCACTCCAGCCTTGGTGACAGAGCAAGACTTCGTCTCAAAAAAAAAAAAAAGAAAAATCTAGAAGGTGAGTAGATACTTTAAACCAATGGTATCCAATCCTTTGAGTGTGAGGACTTTTTGCGGTATCACAAAAATTATTCACAAACCTATTTCTTGTTTCTTAGCTCATCAGCTATCATTATTGTTTGTGTATTTTATAATTTTAAGTGTGGCCCAAGACAAATCTTCCAAAGTGGCCCAGGGAAGCCAAGAGTTTGAAAACCTGTGCTTTAAACTGTATTACAATTTGAAAATTTGAATATATAGAGTTTAAATCACAAATTTCAGTTTATACTAAATAACATTTTGAAGTAAAATAACATTTTTTTCATGTTTGGAAAAATACTTATTGTTCTGATAAACTTCTGAGTAAGAGTTTTTGTAGAATTACATTTGCAACTTCTACAGGATTAAAAATCACTAAGCGGAAAAGATGCAACATCTGTCCTTCGTGTTCCTGGGATTTCTAAACCAAATCCCATTATGTCCACTACTCACCTTACATATTTTAGGCCTGATGCAAAAATAATATTTGAAAAAATACTTTAACATAGAGGTCTTCAATAATACAAATACTCTTATGTCTCTAAAAGCAATGCAACAGCAGTCAGATCATGCAGCCCCTTACAAGCGATAAAGTGGACACTGGCTCTCCCTGTAAACTTGAATGGAGATCACTGAAGAAAAAAAGGAAATTCTTAGAAGATTTAAGAGCATAGGACAGAAGATGACTCTATTTGTGAATAAGAGAAAAAATGCAGCCTTCTCAGAAATTATTTTCATTGGCACAGTTTCCCAAACTACATTTGAAGGCCTGGCTTCCTTCCTGACCTTTTGCCTCCTTGCCTGTGTCCTCTCCTTCATTCACTCTCACCTACCTGGGGGTTTGGCTGCTGTCTCATGTATCTTCAAGTTGTAGGGCTCTTTTATTTGCTCCAGACAGGTGACCAGGTCTGGGTTGGAGATCACAAAACCTGTTTTATTAAAAAAAAAAAAATTAACATGACTATTGCTGGGGATACTCCAATGACCAATCTATTACTATGCTAAGTACAATAAAGAAATTTAATCCAAAAATTGTTTCCTGACAGAATCTTTAGAATACTTAAATATTTTAAATCTGCGGGTTCTAAGTTCCACTACCCAGTACTACTGAATCAAAAATAAGTGGTGCAAATTGGATTTTAAGATGTGGAAAACAGTATTTTACATCACTGAATTTCTAGAATTACTATTATCCTAGAGTGAAGAACACAAATTCATTCAAGAAAAGAGAAGGTTTATGCAATGATGAAACATCCTAAAGATTTTTTTTTACACCAGCAAATTCCCAATTTTTTTCTTGTAGAAAGGAACTGAAAATTAATTAATGCAAAGCAGAAGCTCCCAAGAGACATTCTACAAAGAAAGAAAATGAAACTCTGATAAAGTACTAGGAATTACGTATTAAAAGTTATCCTTACCCAGGGAGACCAGGTTTCTGTAGTTCTCCAACATCACATCTTTATATAAATTCTGCTGGGCAGGATCCAGGCATTTCCACTCTTCAGGGGAGAATTCTATGGCCACATCCCTGAATGTTAAGAGTTCCTGAAAACATATATTTATCATGTGACAGAGTTCTTAATTTGACCATAAGTGAAATAAGAGAACTAGTTGTGACTTATGGGACTGACTGGAATTATCTGATAAAATGACTTTTAACACAGTAATGTTATCTAAAGTATTCTATAACTCTGAGGAAAAAGGAGGGCATGCCAGCAATTTTTGTTGCTGCAGTAGGAATATAGGCTACACTCACCTGTCCCTACCAAAACGGAGCAAAGCAGGTCCTATGACCTCCTGGAACAAAAGGTGAACTCACGTCTCATTAAAGTATGGAAGCCCTCACGCTTGACCCTGGCCTTGCTGTTAATGTCACACAAGAAACTTAACAGGATCTGTAGGGAGGGAACAGGTGACTGTTTCTCTTCAAACTGCCATGTGATTCTACTGGAAGACTGGGCTGAGGGTCACTTAGTTAAACATTGCCTCTCAAGCTTCAATGTGCATATAAATTTGGTATTCTAGGCCTCACTGTAAGTTACACAATTCTGCAGGTTTGAAAAGGGTCCACGAATTAGCTTTTTACAGCAAGTCTCCCGTTAATGCTGATGCTCCTCCCCCTAGATCCATTACAGTACCACTCAGCTAGAGAAAGCAGACACAGCAGAGTCCCTTACCCCAACACCCTTATCACAATACAAATACTTTTCATCTGAAGACAAGACCAGCAATCATCATCCTGAAAGATGGCATTCTCTGCAAGCCCTTTAAAGGTTACAGAGGCTGGAGATGGTTGCAATGTCTGAGTAAGTCTGCATTTGAAAAACAGCACATCCACATGCATTAATGCGATATTTATGGAGCATGTACTATGTGCTCAGGAGTATGTAACAGAGCACTGTGCTGGGAAGCTCATATGATGTGTGCTAATTCTCATAGCATCCTGGGAGGTGGGTACAAAGTGTGTCATACTTCCCAGGATTTAAATGCAGGGTCCCAGCATTTTCTGTTTTTTCTTGTTTTCCTATCGGTGATTTTAAAAAAAATACATAGAATAATAGCTCAATGTGGATAAATGGGACAGACATAGAAGAAAATTTTAAGTACAATTCAGGAATTTTTTATTTTTGTGTGTGTAGTTACTATGAGACTTGTGAAAAATCCACTGAAACTGCAAAGATGGAGAACAGGTTGCTGGATGGGATGTCTCTAGAAATACTGGTTTTAATTTTTTGTAAAATAATTTAAGGCCCCAAAGTACATTGCTTTTCCCCATTTATCTGCTTTTGGGTTTCAGGAAATTGGGAGCACCAGCTCTGGAGAGAGTACGAATAGCTACCCCAAACTCTCATCTTCTCTAAGCAGTTCTGTGAGGCATTGCAGTGTGGGGTCAGACCTGGACAAGGTTCAGTAGATGGTGGATCTGGGCAGAGTTGGGACAGAAAATGGGCCCTAGGCTTCTGCTTTCTAGGCCACTAAGTAGTTTCAGTTTTGTCTTTTCTAAGCCCGTCCAAGAGAAATTTGATTCCCAGAGTTTGTGTAATTTTTATCTATTTTGCCACTTCCCCATCTGTAACATACAATAACAAGGAATTTAACCAAAACCCTTTTGTTTTTCCCGACCAATTATATTTGAAGCTAAATATTTATTCTTAGCAAGGCAAACACAATACAAATAATGACTTCTCTTTTGTCCATAAACAGCCCTGCAGGTGGTGGCATCAAAACTCACCAAACAATAAAAGGGAAGTAACCCAAATGAAGCTTAAGTCTCCTGTACAGTTTTCATCTTTGTACTGAATACATGACACTGAATTTAATCATTTATTCATGTGCTCTAGAATGCAAGTTCCTTGATGGTAGGGACCATGACTATTTCATCTCTTTTCCTAATGCCCATATGAACTGACCCCAGTCTGCACAGGACATCCTCAAATGTCTCAAATACTCACTGACGCTGCTGAGAGTGTCCCCAGTGACCCTAGGCTGATGCCCCCATAGTGATCCAGGCAGGAGAGACTCAGGCTGACTTTGCGGGGTGCAAACAGAAAATGGAACTGCCCTGATGGAGCTGCAGATCCTGGATCCGGATGTGATATCCCCCGTCCCTGATCAGCTAACTCAGGCAGGGGAAGGACAAAAGTACTCTAGTAACACAGGGAGGCATAGTTGGGATTATGGCTCTGGATATTTAGTGGCCTTGACTTCCCACTGCTAAGGTGCTTGTTTACATTTACAGATTCTGTCACAGCATTGTGTTCACACCAGAAGCCTCTTACACAGCTGTAGCAGGTCACTGGACAAGATCCAGAAAACTCAAAGGGCTCCACTCTGAAAGTGGGGCTTAAGATGTCTATGTTGACCTCTCATGATGCAGAAAACATCTTCTGTGACTTTTCTGTATCTCTTCAACCCACAGTCTGGCCCTGTCTTGTGACTCTTAGGCAGAGGCCAGCTTTTACGTGCAGATTCTAGGTGAGATCAATGTGTGCTGCATTCTTGAGTTACAGGAAGCAGAGTAAAATCAGAGGAAAGACCTCATGAAGCCTCCTTCAACACATTCTAAAGAATATTTTGAGCTAAAAGGAAAACATTGGGGTAAACATAAGTACAGAGTTTGAGCCAAAGCTTGAAGACTGCAATCCTGGAGTATAAAGTTGCCCTGAATATACACTCCAATTAGAAGCAGTTACAAGCATATTTTTAAAGGCAAAAAGGAAGCTAGAGAGCAGACTGATAGAAAGGTGTCAGATATTCTTACTGGTTTATAGAAGTAACATTGCTTAGTGATTGGTCATATACATAGTTAAGCTATAGGATATGGGTTATAGTGTCCAGCGTGGCATTATTAGGTCAATTTACAGACACCTGTGGCAATAGCAAGCAATTTCAAAAGACAAATAGTTCAAGGAGGGGAACAGTATGTGAGTGTGGTCTCTTTTTAACACATCTCTGGGTCTGATACATCTAAAAACTTATATTTCTCAGATAAAAGTTCTTTTATCAAAATCCAGGACATAAATTCAGAATCTAGAACTGCACATTAAGGTCTTGGAGGGCTGGTGAGCTATGCACATTTGTGGGCATTTGGGGAAGGGGAGGTGGGAGGGAGCAGAATTTCTCAGGTTTAATCGATGCGTATGTGTGATTCTGGTTAGGTTTATGGGCCCCAAATCTCTGAAATCAGTGTCAGAATGGAAGATGCCAGGAGCACTGAAGGAGGTGAAATAACTGATTACTGTTCTGAAAAGTTATTTTTGTAGAAATTTAGTCTAACTGCTCTAGAAAGGACTGTAGATCCCAAGAGAGAGACCATTCTGTTTGCAGATTTGGGAAACACTTTGCCGCACAATTTTAGGTTGTGACTGGAATCTTAAGAAAGAATGTTTTCTGAAGTGAAGACTGCTGGACATTTTGTGTACAACATCTGGTAATTCTGGACAGTGTGTGGAAAATATAACTAAAAGCTAAAACATCTGCAATCCTAAAAAAGTCTCCACAATAACAGAACCGCAAGAAAATGTTTTGTTGTATAATTAAATCAAAATGTGATGTGCATCACAAGCAATCTAAGAGAATGCAAACACAGAAAGTCACCATAATTAAATCTCAAGTAGAAGCCTTGAAAGCACCATTTGTTGTTTTTTGTTTTTTTTTTTGAGACAGAGTCTCGCTCTGGGGCCCAGGCTAGAGTGCAGTGGCCGGATCTCAGCTCACTGCAAGCTCCGCCTCCCGGGTTTACGCCATTCTCCTGTCTCAGCCTCCCGAGTAGCTGGAACTACAGGCGCCCGCCACCGCGCCCGGCTATTTTTTTGTATTTTTTTAGTAGAGACGGGGTTTCACCATGTTAGCCAGGATGGTCTCGATCTTCTGACCTCGTGATCCGCCCATCTCGGCCTCCCAAAGTGCTGGGATTACAGGCTTGAGCCACCGCGCCCGGCCAAAAGCACCATTTGTTATACACGATTTATTATAATTTCACCTTGTAATCTGAGAGGTCATCTGGGTTTTCTAATTTTTTCTAATAATTAAAGAAAAAAACATCCACATCTTCATGACAGGATGTAGATTTGCAATGTGGCTAGCTACCTGCTGAAGGCAGCCTCCTAGTCTCCTACAGAAACTGTGAAATAGGGTGGTATGTTCTTGCTATTTACATTTCAAAGCAATAGTTCCCAGGTCCCAGATGAAGGCAATTTGGAGGCAAAAAAGACAAATGACCTATTTAACTGATAAAAAATGACTTACATATATTTCAAAGAAGCAAAGAAAATATTTAAATATAAAAGTTCTCAACCTAAATGCTTTAAGAAAAGGGAGAAGAGCAAAAATTCTTCCCTCATTCTAAAGAGAAAGCATTAAGCCTCTTCTAATTTGTGTTTGCTCCTACAACATCCAGGCCTAAAGACCTTGTCTTGAACTCACTATGTCTGAATTCTCATAGGCACCTGAGGGATGGACACCGTAGAGAATTTGTGGGGAAGGAAAAAGCAGAAGAGAGAAAGAAGCTATCAAGAGCCATGGGTGGCAGCAGGGCAGGACTGACTAAAGCACTGGTTTGTACTACAGGTACAGGCTGAGGCAGGGCTATGCTCTGATTCCTGTATCTATAAAGACAGAAGAGATTAGGATCAGGCGGTCCAGAAGGCTGGGTAGGTGAAGGAAGCAAGTTCCTGCTACAGATCCAGTGTCTGCGGTTGAGATGAGCCAGGAGACTTCTGGGCACTGCGTGTGTTTTTGGCAGAAAACGCTAGGAGCAAAGCCGCCATGGGCACAATTCCTGAGGGTGGAACCCTGTACTGGGAGGAGTGGGGCAATGCGAATACCCGGTGGGCGCGCTCAGGAGTGGGTTAGCATTGGGTGGGGGCTGGCAGCAGGGTGAAGGGAAGGGATGTTCCTCAGAACTCCTTTCCTCTGAGTTCTGAGTCCCCTCTCCCGGGGAGGAGACCTGGAGGAACAGGACAGTGCCCAGCGGGACCGCGCATGTGCAAAATCCAGTCGCGCCTCCCGCAGACACCAGGCATCTTCCTCCAGCCCAGGCTCAGCCATGTCTTTCTTCTGACAGAAAACTTGCGGAGTTTCCTCAACACCAGCCAATGCTCCAACCCCAACGGGGTGTCCAGCAACTAACGACCCCACCCAGAGTCAGCGCAGACCCACAAGCTCAGCGCTCTTCCCGCAACTGCCCCCCTGCAGACGCCAGTCCCTGCCTCTGGACACCCGTCTTCATTTCTGAACGTCTGCAACAAACCAGGGGCGCCCACACCCTCCTCAAGTTCCATAATGTGGCAGAACCACTCACAGAACCCAGCGAAGCGCTGTGCGCACGACACCAGCGTATTCTAAAAGATGCCGTTCAGGAACAGCCACGCGGAGGAGGCGCTCAGGGCAAGGGGACTGGTGGGAAAGTTGTGGCGGGCGGGTGAATGGCTTCCCTTCCTCACACACCTCACAAAAGCCTTTCCTTCAAGACCAACTGGCAGCCCCCAAACCACGAACCACGGGGGCGCTGTCCCACTAATGAGTCCCGTTTCCTCACAGGAACTCTGTGTTTTGACGGGGCCTCCATCTCACTCTGAAAAGGGTAAAGTAGGGACAGGACCCCGGACCACAGCTCCTCCCACGCGGTGCCCGCGCACGCCGCGCCGGCGTCTTCCCAGTGAGCTCCTCACCCCACAGCCCGGGGAAGGTGCGGGGCTGCGGGCGCAGAGCTGAAGGAGGAGGGCTGCAGGCTGGGCAGAGCCGCCCTGCGGGGACCGACAGGAGCCCGGGTCCCTCACCGGAGGGGACTGAGGACGGAGGGCTGAGCGGCGGCAGCGGGGACTCCGTTCACAGACTCTGTCCCGCCGCCGCCATTTCCCGCCGCTGCCGATGAGGCCCCCACAGCCTCGCGACGCCCTGCCCGGCACACTCACCATTTCCCCACTTCAGGGGATCCGGGAGTCTTAGCTACAAATCATCCAATACCCGCTGGTCACTGAGCGACCGGAGGCTGAGGCTGCTGCCGAATCCCCCAGGCCTCCCGGAGCCGAGGACGCAAACAACTGTAGCCCTAACCCAAGCCCTGGCAGGAGCCATAGGAAAAGGCCCCGCCAGATCCCGGAAGCCACCGCCTCCTCTCTGGCTGCGCGCCTGATTGGGCAGTTCTCAGTCCGACACTCTGATTGGATAATACTCCAATCCCCGCCCTCTGGCCTTGAGTAACAGAATTCGCGACCACACACTCCACTGATGAGGCAAGAGTGACAAGCTGGGGCCTCCAGGCCCTTTCAGGCAGGGCTTTCTCTCCGGGCTTGACCTGAAGCAGCCCAGGGGTCCCTTTTAGACCTTGTGTGTAAGGTTATGTCCACTTATAAAATACACGCACGCACGGACACACAGACGTACACACGCGCGCACACGTAGATACGGACGCACACACACACACACACACATGCATGCACAGGCACACACTTTTTCACAAGTGGAAGCAATATAATGACAATTATTTTAATAGTTTAGATTTCATAACCCTTCTGGCCGCTAGTCTTTTGAGTAGGACACCTGATTTAAGAGGGAAGCAATCCTCTAAAATATAAAATGTTAGCTATTTGTGAATTTTCCGTTTTTTATTAGCCACGTCAAAAATAATTTTTAGAGTGAAATTGTTGGTAATAATTTTTAATCCATTGTATCCAAAATATTGTATTAATATGTGATCAATATACAATTAGAAATAAAGTATATTTCTGATCTAATTCTTCTACACTCACGGTGTATTTTATGTTTGCAGCACATTTTACTTCAAACCAGTCACATTCCAGGTGCCCAGTAGCTACATATGGCAGGTGGCTGCCACATTGAGCGCAGCCATGAGGGCCTCTCTTCCATCAGGGAAGTGAGGGCCTGAACACTTCTTTTCTGCTGGAAGTAAGGGACCAGCCTCTCTACCAACTTTTCTCAGGCTCAAGGGTGGGTGGGATAGTGCCCCCAGAGAGACCAGGGGCTGCAAGCTGAGAGTATCCACGTGAAGACCACGGTTTCCCAGTTACTGTTTGGTGGAGATGTGGTGGTCTCCTTGATTGAGCCAGGTCGGAACTCTTGTGCCACGACCAAAAAAAATGAAGCACACGGGTGCCAGAGAGTGAGTAAGGCAAAGTAAGATTTATTAAGCAAAAGGAAAGTTCTCAGAAGCAAGAGGGGACCTGAAAGCAGGTTGCCAGAAATGAGGCTGAGGTCTAGGTCTTTTATGTGGCAAGAACAAGTATGTCTTCTGTGGGTTCTGCCCAAATGGGATGGGTAAAGTTCCCCACTAAGGGTGTTGCATCTGCGGATGCTTGGGATTGGCCACAGTGACTCCATTTTGGTTGTTACCCATGAGTGCCTAAGTGAAACTTGGGGGGGGGAGCTAAAACCACAATGCTAATGTCATATTAATGACCTTATAATGAGCTGGGTCAAGTTAAAGACACTTAGGTTGATTTATTGCGCCTGTGCCTAAGTTGGGACAGTCCCTTTGGAGCAACATCCTGGCCTTAGAGGAAGTTCTTAACCACATTTCTTCCTGCTAGCTACAGGGGTGGTGCAGGTGCGGTCCTACAGGTGTTTTCCTTCTCCCCAGACCCTTTGTCTCTACCTGCCTAACCAGCCTCCGACCACCTCCTCTATCAAAGGTTCCTCTTCCTTTCAAATACCAGACAGTAAACAAAGAATGTGGGGGCCACAGGAGGAGAGAGCACCATGTCTTCAGATCTCTTCACCGCCTTGTCCTCCAGAGTTTAGAAGTGGAGGGAAAAGATTAAAGGCAATCTTCTTGTTTTGCTATTTGTCTTTGGACCTAATCTGGACCTAATTTGGACACACAGGCTGTAACTGTGTGTTTTTCTCCTGTGGTGTGGGGCACTGTGTGAGTTTAAGCACCAATCACATGCATCCACATCTACCTGTACTTCTGTTCCCAGAAGGAAGACCGTGAGTGAGTTGTCCAGGTCCTTGGCAACTTGAACAAATAATTGAACAAAATGCACAAAGTAACAAAGGAACACAGGAAGGAAGCATCAAAAGCAGAAATTTATTAAGGTAAGGAATAAAGTGGGTGTGGGCGTGAGCAAATGACTCAAGGTCATGGTTACGAAGTTTTCTGGGTTTTAACTACTCCTTTTGAGGTCCCTATCAGCTACCACTGATCTGGATGAAGGATTTGGTCCGTGGCTAACTAAAGGCTTAGGTAAATTGGCACCCTATGCAGATGAAGGGATGGCCGGTGCTTGGCCTGCAGCCACTCCAAGGCACCTTCCCTTTCCATCTGAGAAGTGGTAGAAGGGGAAGGGTTGTAGGGAGAGTAGCCTTTGAGCCTTTGCTACTCAGGTGTGGGGAGATGGGATTTTTTTCTTTTGGTTTAGCTGTTGGAAGTTTGCCTTAATTGGCCTTAGGGTCCCTGCCTCCAGACCTTGGTTTTTTTTTCTTTTAGGAAGTCAGCACAAATTGGCCTTAAGTTCTCTGCCTCCAGACCCCATTCTCCTGCCTCCCTTCTGTACAAACCATTAGTCATACATAGTTCATCCTAAACTCACCTGGTAATTGGGGAGGTCTTCTGTGTATACTGGTTGGTTATATGCAAAGAAACAATAAACTTCCAACATCATGATAGGAGGCAGTTTTGCAACTTAGAGCCAGGTGCCTGTTGCAGGTAAGCCTACCTTACTTTCAGCTCTAAGTCACTCTCAATCTCTTACAGAAACAGTGAGATAGGGTACTATCATCTTGGCTATATATATATATATTTTTTTTTTTTTTTTTGAGACGGAGTCTTGCTCTGTTGCCCAGGCTGGAGTGCAGTGGTGCGATCTCGGCTCACTGCAAGCTCTACCTCCTGGGTTCACGCCATTCTCCTGCCTCAGCATCCCGAGTAGCCAGGACTACAGGTGCTCGCCATCACACCTGGCTAATTTTTTTGTATTTTTAGTAGAGACGGGGTTTCTCCATGTTAGCCAGGATGGTCTTGATCTCCTGACCTTGTGATCCGCCCACCTCAGCCTCCCAAAGTGCTGGGATTACAGGCATGGGCCACCGTGCCAGGCTGGCTATTTATATTTCAAAGCAATGGATACCTACTCCCTAAGCCCTGGGCTGCAGCAATTCTGCTTGCCCTCTCCTGGTGGCCTGTGTCCTCTCCCAAACCCTGCCATCTACCACTGAGGCACAGCCCACAGCTGGCAGCTCACATTTTACATGGAACACAACTGCCACAGATGCACTGCAGTGCCGCGTTACAGAGCGGGGTCCCTGAGCTGCAGGAGGAGAGCCTGCAGGGCTCCTGGGTAGAATTGCACTTTTGCGATAGGGGGAACAGGAGCAATGTTTCAGCCTCAGTTTCTGTTTATAATAGTGACACAAAAAGAATATTGCTGGATACACAGCATGGATCTAGATAGAGGAGCTCCAGGAGTTCTCACAGTGACAGACCCCTCACTCACAGACACCATGTGATAGTAATAGGGCTTAGACACAGATACCCAGAGCATTGAAGAGAAAGACAGCTCTCAGTCTGAGTAAAACTGTACTGAGAGAAGAAAAGAGGTTGAAAGAATCTTAAAGACAAATTCAGATTACATATAACATTGGTCAAATTGACCAGAAAATATTCCCCCAAGGAAGTTCTTCTCTAAACACCTGAAAGTGCAGTACTACTCTCAGCATGAGACACACAAGTATTATGAAGAAAGAGAGCTTATTCTGAGCAGAATTTCCACCTCTGCTGCTCTCCCATCTGCTGGCCATTGGATTGGGAATCTATACTGTAACACACCTGACAACCTCCACCGGCACTTTTTGATGAAGAATTGGAATTCGCTCTATTCACATAGTAGAGTTATATTAGAGACTGCAAGATAGCTAACTAAAGAGCTACTATGATTCTTGGGTGGCCACATCACCTGCATTTATTTGTCCTGGAATAGTGGCATTCCTAATTTAGTAAAATAAAAGAATAGGCTGTAAAATTATGTTGACCTATAATTATACCTATAGGATCAATTAATAAGCATGTCAGGTTAATATCTACTATAGCAATGTGGTAGTAAATTTTCTTTGGGTATTAAATATAAATGTCTACATATAAATGATTTTAATATACTAGTCATAATGTATATATTTTTAAAATTATCTGTAAGCTTAATTACAATATTTTATAATACTTTATATTTCAAACAAATTAATACTTATATTAAAGTTATATAAACTTAATTCAAACAAATTAATACTTATAATAAAGTTATATAAACTTAAATAAAGCTATAATGCTTTATATTTCAAACAAATTAATAATATTAATATTAAAATTACTATTTAAGAGGTTTATTCAAAATAAATATTGTGGCCTTATAGTCACACAATTGTAGAAAATACTGTTTAATTTACATGGATGCATGTTGTCTACTAAAGACTACACAAAACTATGCTAATCTTTCTTAAGTAATAAGTAGAAACCAAGGCACAGCTAAAAATTCCACTGCTCAGTTTATACCCTAAACTGTTCTTGCTTTTGCAGTGTTAAATACTTTAGGCTCCAGATATTATCACCTTTAATATAATCGCCTTGGATGATTAGTTTTCTGTTGGAGAAACTTAGTGTCTTTTACTCTTCATTACTCTGTATTGCTGAATTGAATCCTATTCTTTGTGGTCAACTTTTGTGTGACCTTAAAATGAGCTTTATTATTCTAAACAAATCTGTGTCTTCTTTAAAAGGCTGAAAATGGGGGGGGGGGAACCAAAACCTTTGCCAAATCAAAAGCAAAAACAAAGTAATGGTTCTCAGGTCCTAGGTAAAGAGAATCCTGAGTCAAAAAAAAAAAAAAAAAAAGTTAAGGTTTATTTAGCTGTTAAAATAATTTGTATATATGTATATTTCAAAAGAAGCAAAGAAAAATGTACATGTAGGCTAAATGCTTTTTAAAGAAAAGCAACAGCCGGATTATGGACATGATCTTGAACTTCCAGACATCTGAATTTCAGTATACACTGGATTTAGGTATCTAATGGGTGATCCTGGACACACTGTGTACACGTAAAAGAGAGGCTGTGGGGAAAAATGTAGAAAAGAGAAAGGAGCCACCAAAAATCCATGAGTGGGGGAG